TGGTTTGTTTTTTTCTGTACTACCACTGGTTGTGAATTGTGCTAAAATAATGTTGCCTTATCTTCTCTGAAAAGCTTTCCACACATTCAGATGACAAACCACACTTTCAACAACCAAAAAATTAAATCTAGTGATGAAATGTTTTCTGTGTTGAGACAAATCTTGTGCGATGCCGTAAAATGTCTGGATAATCACACTACGTGTGCCGTGGTCCATTAATGACACGTCCGATTTGCAAACTAATGACTCCTTTGAACCGATTCACTTTTATGAATGGTTAAAACAACTGATCTGTCCAACACTAAACTCAAGAGACATAAATCAGAAACACTTTACAATAAGGTTCCATTTATTAAAGTCTAGTTAACTACATTAGTTAATGTTCTATTAATATTACCCCTATGCGGATTTACTTAAACCATGACAAAACCACCCCAGTCATTCTAGAATGATTTATTCTTTCCTAATAGAGCAATTCAAGTCATCTGGTGAAATAGTTTTTTTATATAGCAGAAAAATGAAATATATCAATGTCATTTTTTTTTTTTTACCAATATCATGCAGCCATAATCCTTGCAATGTGTTTTCTATACAGAGATATCGACATCGGTAAATATTGGTATCGGCCATAACAGCAATATTAATATTGGTTATCGCTATCGGCCACAATTTTCACATCGGTGAATCACTAGTGTTAACTAGTCCTTGCATGAGGAGTGCTAATGTGCAATGGTCTTTCATAATTGCATGAGGAGTGCTAATGTCTTTCATAAGTGTAAAACCACTAAAACGGAAGAGGTGAAGGCCTCTGATCAGGGCACTTACATTCAGCCCATCAAAGTTGAGACCTTGACTTGTATAGTGCAACTTTAGGTATCAAAAATTAAATTGAATACATTTTGGCCACATTATAATTTTGTAATTGAATATGGTTAAATTGTATGTCTCATCTGTCTTTAGGATCATGACTTCTTCCAGCACTTGGAGATGCACATGCGCTCTGAGTTTCCCCCTCTGTGTGGTCGTGATCATCTCAGCTTCCGCTCATATTATTTCCCAGTGAAGGTAAGGACCAGCACACAGTTAATACATTACACAGCTTTAGTATTAACCAGGGATGGCTCGATACCCCTTTTTATATCTGCCGATACTGCGACTGAGTATCATGCCGATACTGCGACTGAGTTTTCTTCCGGGGACGTACACGTCACGATATTCACCATTTCAATAAATCCCGCCCAAGGCCACGCACAAAAAAAAGTGGGCAAGGCCTGGTTGAGTTGTGTTAGCAGTGTATTTAAACTTGTGGTTATGTTAAGGGGCGTAACATTTCGGAAATGTGCTGGTAGGGGAAGCTTCATAGTGCTTGTTAGAGAACCTAACGGTGTTCAAGACAGACTGGAAAATAGAGGCGCTGCAACAGTTTTTTGAACATTTCAAGCATGGAAATAAAGACTTTAAAAAAAGGGCATAAGTGACCTTTAAAGGGATACTCCACTTTTTTGGAAATAGGCTTATTTTACCACTCCCCCAGAGTTAAACAGTTGGGTTTTACCGTTTTCAAATCCATTCAGCCAATTTTTTGATATTTAGAAGAATATCAGTAACCAGACAGTTTCTGGTCTCATTGACTTCCATAGTATACTATGTAATGAAAATCTCTCTCTCTCTCACTCAAATTCAAATTAGCTTTATTGGCATGACTTATACAGTATTGCCAAAGCATTGGCCATTACATAGGCAATGAACAAGTAATCAATAAATTAATCAGTAAACAAATGCATGAAAATGTTTATATATCAAAATGAAAAACACATAAATAAAAACAGTTTTGAACCAACATTCTGACTTTTTAGTTTTGTCCTCTGACTTTCTCTCTCTTTCACTCTCTCTTAAAAGAGATAACCAATAAACCATTATTTTGCAAAGAGTCAGACTATTTAAGTCCCTTATGGGTCATTTTTCCTCGTTGACTTTGCTTGTATGCTTTTAGAATGTGATCGATGGAGACCTGTGTGAGCAGTTTAACTCCATGGACCCCCATAAGCAGAAGAGTGTCTCTGAGGAGTTGGACCGCACCCCTCCGGAGGTGTCGAAGAAATTGGAAGACATCAGAACACGCTATGCCTTCTAGGGTCTTTACATCTGGCAGGAGCACCATGAGAAAATCAATTGTTTTTCTGGGCTTCCCATGGCTGTGGTCTCAACTTTCCAACCACAAGTATAGTAACATTTTGGTCACGGCGGAAGGAAGTTCCCCCTTTAACTGGAGCCAGCTGGAAGCCGTCACAGTCCCAGTGGTCAATGACCTTCTCCTGCATGAAATGACTGTTGGTACTGTGCTAAGGACAAAGCATCTCAGTTTTTAGATCTTACTTGAGTGGCTTACTTGAGGAATGTTTTCATGCATAAGACTTCATCAATGTGGCTTTTATATGGATGGACTTTAAAATCTCTACTACTAATTTTGAAGCTACCTTTTGTAGCTAAATCCACGTTTAATTGTATGAACCAGTCTGCATAAAACATCACATCATTCACATCTTGAGTATTTAAATTGTGTATCATTCAAAGGTTAAAAATCTGGTCCTACTCTTGTAAAAACAGTGAAATTGTAAAATAGCTTTAGTTTTTGTCTCTGTGGAAGCAGCAAATTTGTTGTGGCTTAACTTTTTTTTCTTTTTTTGAGAAGAGCCATAATCATCCAAACCTACAAAAAGGAAGTGCTGTTTATGTCCTGAAGTGTGAAAGAATGTGTAAATAAACTTTTTTTACATTTTCATGTGTTTCCGTGTTTGTCACAAGACTTGTCGTTAACTGAGCCCACAAGCAAAGCAGGTTTTCACCGTTTTACTTTTTTTTTTTTTTTTTTTTTTTTTTTTTCTCATTTCATCTCATCTAATGACAGTGAGTCATTTTGCGTTTGCCTTGAAATTATTATCCAGTCTTAGACACTTAGTGAGTCAGGCTTCATCTCACCGAATTCACCAAATATTAAGTAATTTAATTCTTTTATATACACTTTTGACCTGACTCCATACTTAAATGTGTTGATTTGAAAAAATGTTATGTCATATTAAGATGACTGACCAACACTGGCAGTGTGCAAGAAGTCTTTACTGTCAGGGCTATATTTGGAGTGGACGTTCACTATTTTTGGCAACAGGTTTTCCATTATATGAATCAATCTTGTGTAATTTTCTTTTTTTAATTGCTTTGGTCAGTAGACCCTGACAAAAGTGAGGACGGAGTGTGATGTATATTAGTATCAGAGTGAGTCACATCCTAATCACACTAAAGCCCACAATATTAAAGAACCTGGTTGTACCACTCTCCATCTACAATCCAGTTAAATTGACCCCTTAAGAAGAATTCATAGGTTTTTTTTTCTTAATGTACAAAAATGCAGTCATGCTGTGGAATGAAGGTACAGAATTGAGCAATATGAGGAAAGCCACAATGTTTTCAAGTTTGTCTAACACTTGAGTTTTAAACTGAGGTTCTAGTCAAGTGTGTACAGTCATTTTTTTTATCATCTCTAAGTTTAAACATTTAATGTTGCGGTAAGCTCAAATAGCTTCTGTCTGTGCCATCAGATGGTTCTGATTGCTGTTACCATGATTACTGTAATTTATTATATAAACCCTGGTTCCTGTAAGTCAACAAATTCAGATTGTATGTTGAAGTATTGTGAATGTACCCCAAGATTGTGGGGGACTAGGACTATTCTCTTGGGGTGTGTGATGATGGGGCCCATCCATTAAAAACAGTCCTGGTCTCAGAGCCCGCACTGCTAACGAATAAAATAAAGAGTCATAAAAGTAGGTTGAGATATTTTGGGGGGGTGTTTATAACCTGGTAAAGTTTTATTTCACTAATCTTCCTTTGGGGGATTTCCATATTGATATGATGTAATCTGTGTTGACAGATGGTGTAAGGTTTGGATGGGGGACTCGGAATGTCCCTCTCGTTGGGTCTTGAGTGGATTTGGCCTTTGTTAGGACGGCAAAGATAGCTCTATCGACAAGGGATTGTGCCCCTAAAGAAAGATTATAGGTACTGCAAAACAAGGGGGCCATTGTGGCAACTGACAAAGCCATCATACGACAAAGCAAGTGTGTAGTGTGCCGTTGGTTGCCCATTGTCCATTGTCTTGCGAGATGAGGAGCTTCAGAGTCCGAAAAAAGATGTGTTGTCATGAAATTCCTAAAAGTGTAAAGCTGTGCCAACTAAGCCTGCCAGCACAGAACCACAGTAAATGTAGGGAATAAATTAGTAATGTGTGTGGGTGAATGCGATTTACAGGGAGATTGGGCAAAGAAGACACTGTTGTACTGATGCTTGATGATTGCTTGTTTCTTTACTCATAAAGGTTTTATTGTTGGCTGATGTGTTTTGTAATATTCAAGTAGACCAATTTCTAGCTGGTGTCAATTTTATGGTCATTTTTACTCTTTTATATTTAATAAACTGCTGCAGAGGTTGAGTGCAGTATGCACTTTCAGGTGGGTCAACTTTAGCTTTTGTTGTTATTGCCAGTACATTTTTGAGTACAGTGTTGTCTTGGCCAGTTAACATTAACAATGTTAAACTATTTTTTTTTGTAAACAAAGTAAGATAAGATCCCATTTTGTTATTTTTAAAGATATAATAATTTGATAAATAATGACAGACGATTGAGCATTTAAGCAGTTGCTTCTATGGTTGCCTCCTCGCGTCGCAGCGTACACATTTAGCGTTTACTTGTAAACTTTTGTGGTTAATGAAACGTATTTAGCCAACTCATATGAGGGGGGAAATACTTTTAAGACCCCCAAACCCCATACTTACCCATAGTTCGGACCATGGCTGAATGTTCGAACAAAGGCAGCACTAGCAGTAAAGGTCTCTAATTTTTAGTTTTGTTCATGAAGGTGAAGCATTTTGCTCACATCCAGTCACTGATGAGTTAATAGTTTATGGAGCCCCAAAAGTGAAAGTAACAGTCTCATCGACTGTCGCTCTCCTTTACTCAGCGTGTTCTTCTCGTGCTGTTCGCGCGGAGAAGTCTGTAGGCGGGTGTACATAGCGACTTAACATAAAGACGTAACATAAAGAAAAGGGAGTTTCCGAGACATTTGGGTGGACGTTGCATTGAAAAGGGGCGAATTTACTACTTCGTCCAGCATTCTGCAGGTTTGGAATTGTCAGCGGTCATATCTAGTAGGTTGAAGCAAACAATTGCTGTTTATTGAAGGTAGCCTACACTGCAGATGGCTTCCTTGTGAGACAGCCCATCATCGAATCGAAAGGTCTGTGGCTTATTTGTATTCCTTGAGCTGTTAAATTGTGTTGCGTGTTAATGCGTTTTAGATGGGATTGGGAATGAAGCGCAACAAGGCGTTTCATATAGTCTAAGCCAAGATCTTAACGCGGTCTACTGACAGATCGCTTCTGATTTAGATTAGTTTACAGGTGAATTTACAAGATGCTCTGACAACAAAATTCGATCGATACATCAACACTTTTATGATGTTAAGTTTTGTGTGAATGCAAAAAACATATTTTATGCTTATTATTCCAGTATCTACTTCTGAATGCTGCAGTGAATGTATTAATCAGGATTTTGAGTCACACAGTTCAGAATTATATTAGAACTAAACATTTATTTATTTCTGTGCATGTCCAAAATAAGGTAGGCACAGGAAAACGTCATGCTGTTGTATGTACGAAAAAGAAAAGAAAACAGCATGACCCACATCTTGCAATTAAAAATTGTTAGAAATGTGAATTGAGTTACATTTATTTAGAAAAAAAAAGGTAAAAATAGCATCTCAAGTCTTTCAATAAGTTTATCTAAAGGCATAACCAGAATATAGGCCCTATTTGGCAAATGATGTGTAAATAGCTGGCTTAAATAACACTATTAAAAAACAGAAATATCAGTATCTACTGATCTATCAGTTTTGATCTACTATCAGTATCAGTTTCTACAATGACTTTTTAAAAAAGGGTTAAGTCAAAATCTACTTTAGAATAGGAGAATCAAATAGAAATAGAAAGTTGTGTTAAAATATCAATTAAAACATGTCAGATAAAATATGTTACATAAAGGATATTATTTGTTCTGGCTTGTTTCTGCTTTACAGATCCATATTTATGCATTTAAATTTTTTTAATTTATTTTAATAATATAAGTTCATAGATAATATTTATAAACTTAAACTTACAAGTATTATAAATTTTAATATTACTATACAATATTTCTGATAAAGCTATAAAAAATGTTGATTAAAAAACAACATTTTGCTCCACATGTTCATCACGTGGATATTAGTCAGAAACTTGCTTGTCATGTCAAGATGTTGTTAAATTCCCAATAGGACTAAAAGGAATTTTAATTTTTCCTTTCAAAAAAAGCAAAAAGAGACAACATCTGGATTTGTTTTACACAGCTGCACAGGCGTAGGAGAAAAACAGGCGAACATTGTGATAGCATCAGCCCTTCAGATGAGCAGTGAACCCCTTTCCTGCTTCACTTTGATTTTTTACTACTTTTTGCCCATTAAAATCAGATATGCCGAATCAGTCTTTTTCGATATTTAAGTATTTTATCGTCCAGAAGAAGAGTAAATGAATTCAGATGCGTGTCCAACAAAAAGTCATTTAATGGCAAGTTAAGAAAAAAACTGCCATTCAATCTAGTTTGATATTTGTTCTGACTGTATTCTGTCTTTCTTTTTTAATAGGCCAAGCGTGCATAAGAATTTTCTGGAATCCAGACTCATACTACAGTGCAAGCAGAGCTTAAGCAGAACCATGATCCACTTTGAATGCCGGCTCCTCAGGGGCCTGCTGGGTAAGTAAAGTCCAGTAACTATGTGATTTAATTTGCATAATGCTGGCTATTGTGCCAATATGACCTTTGAGGATCTTCATTTGTGTGGGAAATTTGGAATTGACAGTACTAGACATAAATACTTCACAAGTGGAACTGCAAAAAGTGTTTCAAGTGATTGATTACTTCCCTCCGCTAAATGGAGAGAGACTCGTGCGTTTACGCAAAAAGGACAAACACCACTGTCGTGTCCAAACGAGAACAATTTCTCCGGCTGATTATGTGAACTATCTTAGGCAACAGTTTGCTGTGTGGTTTCTACATCTGCGTATATTGTCATTCGTTTCTTCTGAAATGAGTGTCAAGCTAAACACATGAGATGAGTGCTGCCACCGAAGGACTAAGACGTGACTGTTAATTTCACCACATCCTGTGTTCAGGACAGAAAAAGAGAGAGAGATCGGATAGACAGATAGACAGATGCATAAGGTAAAAGAGAGGGCAATGAGGGGGATACCAGGCCAAAAAAGCCAGAATAACTTTGATGGGAGGTGGGGGTTGAGTGGTCGGACACCAGTAAATAGCCCAGGTTCTGCGGCATAACAAATTCCTCTGGCCCTCGGAAGTCTGTTTCATGGCTCGGAGACTTTGCTGACTGTCAGTCTCTGGGTAACTGCCCTATAGTGCAGCTCAACCACAGAGGCCAGCCGCACTGTGATCCACAGCGAAGTGACAGATGAAGGCCTGTGCCCTGTCTTTCTGCCCAGGGCTAGCCAGTCACAATCACTTATCTTTAACAAATAAAAGCTCCAAAATAGATCCAGGATCAGCCTCACAGTTCATCTGCTTGATAAAGCTCCCCTCATCTCATGCATATTATGCTTTTGTGGAATGCAAAATCTCTTCTGTTGTGGCATTATGGCTAATGCTTTTTTTTGCAGCACCTTTTTCTCTGTAAGTCGGGTTGTGGTTTGAGGTTTGTGACTTGTCACAGAACCAACTTTTGAGAATTTATTTATGCAACTTTGTGCGTCATTGCTAAAAGACATCACAACAAAAGTCATCAAAACAAAGTAAAAAGTGATGTGCTTAATAGTCATGATCAATAAATTGAAATTTATACTAAAATGTTCTGAATAAATTTATCATGAAGATTTGTATTGATACTAGACATAGACAAGGTACAGGCCTTTTAATTACAGAGAAACTGTTTGTTTTAAATGAAGCTGGATGTGTTTTAAATATAGCCAAAATGTGTTATGCCATGCATATTGTGATGTAAAGTTGAAGTACAAATCAGCCATGATTTCATGATGTTTTCATGATTGGCAATGGCATTATTTTAAAAGCCATTATTTTTCTGCTTCTCTCCCTCTAGGTTTTATTTGTCTATTACCAATGTGCACGAGTGCAGAACCAAATATCTGCGATCCTCTGAGAACAGTACGGAACAGCCTAAACTCAACCCTGCGGAGACGATTTATGGTAAATAGATGCCATAGACCTTATTCAGAGCAGCGCCATGACAGGTATGAAAGTGAGGCTGTGAGGGATAGACTTACCGTGTTTCCAATGGCATCCGCTGTAAAAAGCTGAATAAAGTGGCTAGATTACTTACAATTTTCCACTGCTTACATTGTCGGGAGTTTTTTGTCAACTGACATTTCTTGGAAAGATATTTTTCCAGTGTTTCATGAGCAGAACAATCCGAAAACACATTAAATAACAATCCAGCCCATTGAAGAGATGCAAGTCTATCCCTCACAGCCTCGCTTTCATTCTCATTAAAAATCAAAGATGGCGCTGCTGTGAATAAGGCGTATTGGCCCAGTTTCACAGACATGGCTTAGATTAAGCCAGGGTTAAGCTTTAGTTCAATTAGGGGATTTATGTAGCTTTTATAAACGTGCCAATGAAAAACTCATTGCTGGTGTGATATATTAGATATATATATATATATATATATATATATATATATATTTATCAGTGGAAGTTGCTTTCAATTAAAACAGCTCAAACATGCATTTTAGTCTGGGACTAGGCTTAAGCCTTGTCTGTGAAACCAGGGGTAGTGTTATATTCTGAACAAGATATTGATATTGAGAACAGACATATAAAAAAGAAGAAAATATGGTTGTATAAATGTATAGCATGAGGCAGGATGCGAGGTTTTACATTTATTTTTTATTTTATTTTTTTTTTTACAGAAAATGAACTTTCCTATTAACTATACTATTCAAGTGCATTATGAGGAGGTGTTCAGACTACGCAACATCAGCAGACTGGTAAGTCTTTATCCTACTGACACTGTCCCCAACTAAACCTCTGACTCACTTTCCATCATGGCTTAAAGCCACACTCGCCACAACTTCCCACACTAATTAGCTCATTTTTCCTGTTTGCCGGCTTTCACCCGAGATTTGAACACTCGTGAGTCGTGACTTACAAAAAGAGTCAGATTGGAGTCACAGTTTTAGGGTTTCTCACGGCTTTGAAGGCATATGACTCAACATTTGCAAATAAACAGGGGTGAATCTCACCGAAACAATTCTAATTACAATTCATAACACTGTCAATTATTGTATTATAGTATTATATAAAATGTATTATTTTACTATAACATTTTTATAAGGCTGTACATAAATGTACTACAGCATACAAATATATATACAAACATATACTACCACTCTGCATAAATATTTTACAACATACAATAATGAAAATTGAATATTCAATTTGACTGAATTAAGAATGAAACCTTTATGTCAAAATTTAATTTAAAATAGCATTAAATTAAGAAAGATTATAGAAAATGATTAAAATCGGAGCCACCTATGGTTGAAGAATGGATGTATATATAGCCTATATATATATGATGGAAATAATTTTTGGACTGAATATATTAAACCCAAACCCACAGACTTTTATTAAATGTTAAACAATCTGCAAGGTAATTTTCTTAAGAATTATAAGTTATTATAAGTTATATTGTTATATTCTATATAGTTTCTGTTATAAAAAGGGGGAAATAAAAAATATTTGGAGAATAAAAGATTTTTATTTCCAGAACTGATAGCTATATAATAATAATTTTTGATCTATATTAATAATAATGTTCCTGTTTTATTGTAGAAATAACCTCGGTAATTGTGTTTTTTTCTTGTATAAAGGGGGAAAAAATAGAAAAATATATCAGAACACAAAATAGTTACATTTTTTAAATTATTTATAAATTGTAAATTTGCTGTGTAACTCCTGTGACCTTAAAACTATTTTTTTCTTCAATATTACGAGATTCTGACACTAAAAGAATACATGTCTATAGATCACAACCATTCAAATATAATTGAACATTTCCTCATTATAGTTCTTCTTCTCCTCCTCTCTTCATCTCTCACTCTCTCTGTTATCTAGAATACGAGTAATGAAGATGAACCAGTGCAGAAGAGAGATCTACAGGATTTGTGGCTTTTGATTAGTCAGCAGGGTATAAAGAGGGTTTTAAGGGTGCTGCCAGAGAGACATCCTACACGGCGTAAATACCTCTTCAATCTGGAGAACCTCTTCAGAAATTTTCAGGCAAAATTTCATGATTCGAATCCAGTAGATCCAGAGGTTAGAACAATGAGGTCATTTCTACTTTCTCAACAGCATTACGTTGTAAATCATTGTGGCAGCCACTGTTCACAGTATCCCAAAGCTAACTTCTTTTTCTGCTTTATGAATACAGTTTTAATGGAAAATAACCCCCCATATACACTGTAAAAAATATTGTTGGTTTAACTTAAAAAATTAAGTAACCTGGTTGCCTTTAGGTGACCTTAAAATTTTAAGTTGATTGAAATTGAAAATTTGAGTTAATACAATGAAGGAGATTGATTTAATCATCAGAAACTCCAAATAGGATGTTCTGTGAGCTACATAAATTATTTAAGTTGATTTGACAAAAGAAAAAAATGTTATGATTACAAATCATGCAAATATTTTTTTACATTGGGGCTTAGATTTGGTAATCTGTGGATCTGTGTTACTGATGTTATTTAATGCAAGCAATTTGTCTAGTATTTAAATTCATCATGTCAAAATGTTTGTGTCTTTCAAAAAAGAGAGTTCTTCCAGAGAGCATAGAAAACATCCGGGATCGATTGACAGACCCATATTACCAGGGATGGAAGTCTGTGAAACCCAAGTCACTACTGGATAACAGTTATCGGACCATGCTTTGCCTATTCAAAGAGTGCTTCTTAAAAGAGGATGACAATTATGATTGTAAGTGAATGGAACTTATTGTTTGTTTTTACATTTGTAGGACTGTAGAATATTGATCTGCTAAACATTGATCGGTTAAAAGACCCAGTGAAGTAATTCAACAAACAGAGACTACTTTGTTTTTACATTTGGAATTTTTTTTGGGAATGATGGTACTGACTTACTCATTGAGGGTTTGAGGCAAGACTGTTGAGGTCCATCTAATGATTGCTACCACTTGGAACAGTTGGGGAATTTTGGAGTCCAACCGCAAGAAGGGTTCTTCCACCAGTCCACCAAGTTTTTGTTGATAACCTTACGCAACCCCAAAATGTATGCACACAGTAGCAAAAGGAAACATTTGCTGCTTGTTGGTGCATGTCTGTGGTCAAAAATCAGCCTTTGTGAATGAGAAAAACTTTTAGGGGATTGAATCAACATCTTTATCCCCTCCATGATGAATGAGATCGTGGCATGATTCAGGCTTTGAGGTTGTCTGAAGGATGTAGAGTACCTTAAGAAGCCCACATGTTTTTTACTAGCCTGAACATGCCCCGGTCTATGCTTTCTACCAATTCTTTGGGAGAAAGACAAGTATGATCATGTACATTGTTTTTGTTACCTTTATATGTGACACCAATATATGACCACTTTTCTGAGCTCATTCTCTTTGTATATTTATAGATTGTGAAGTCCTCAACCGGAGGAAAGAGAAGAAAACAACATAGCAGCAGATCTAAGCGGATCCGATCCTGTTTCATGTTGCTGGTGTTGGTGTAAAAGGGTGTTACCTGTTTATGTAGTGACACGCAGCATGCTTGTGTGCCTCTTGTCCTAGTGAAGTCATTGATTGTCTCCACCGGTGTTGTCCATATGGAAAAAACTCCAACAACCGTCGCACCACTTGGAAGACACTCTAATGACCCTGCAGCTATTGCTCTCCATCATTCAGAACATTCATACCTCCGTCCACCCGCCCGCAAACTTGCATATCGATGTAGTATTTTGCTAAAAAGATTCATGTTCTATGGAAGAGACATGCTTTGACTCTTCGCTGTAGTATTTTCTATTGGTAATTCCAAAAAAGTCTTTGCCACTGTGACTTATATTTCTGAGGAAATTAAATATTTTGTCCTTGGTGAATGCCAAAACAGTATATTATCAAGCTACATTGTAAATGTTCTTGGACATTTTTAGGTAAGATGTATAAGTTACATGGAGCTTCTTTTGTCCACATATCATTTGCATGCAAATGTTGTGCTGACTGCTGGCTTAGTCGGCACTGTTGCTTTTACCCGTTGGCTCTTTACTTTGTGCTTTGCTGGTTTAATGTTGAAAGTTTGCACCAAAGTAGTCCAATAAAAAGCTTTTTAAGGTGACCAATAGGGTTTGATATCAGGTTTGCATATGTTTTATACACAGATTTTAATCTAGTTTATTTATTTGGACTCCTGCCACAGAATGTTCTGGTAACTGTTGTAACATGGCTTGGAAATAAATCTCCCACTATCACCCCCTCGTGTTCACATGTATCATTTGTTTGAAGCTATGGGTTTGGTTACTTTACAAACACACTCACCTTTCACACACATACAGTACCTGACAATATCAGGGATAGATATCAGAAGACACATTTTTTATGAAGGTGACGACATTGGCTAAATTAGGTTACACTTTATTGAGACAAGTGTAATTACATATTTAAATACTGAATAATATTAATTAACAACATGTACTCACTGTAGGATTACAGTTTGGTTGAGGGTACACTCACCTAAAGGATTATTAGGAAAACCTGTTCAATTTCTCATTAATGCATTTATCTAATCAACCAATCACATGGCAGTTGCTTCAATGCATTTAGTGGTGTGGTCCTGGTCAAGACAATCTCCTGAACTCCAAACTGAATGTCAGAATGGGAAAGAAAGGTAATATAAGCATTTTTGAGCGTGGCATGGTTTTGGTGCCAGCTGATAGAAGAGCAACTTTGACTGAAATAACCACTCATTACTACCTAGGTATGCAGCAAAGCATTTGTGAAGCCACAACATGCACAACCTCGAGGCGGATGGGCTACAACAACAGAAGACCCCACCAGGTACCACTCATCTCCACTACAAATAGGAAAAAGAGGCTACAATTTGCAAGAGCTCACCAAAATTGGACAGTTGAAGACTGGAAAAATGTTGCCTAGTCTGATGAGTCTCAATTTCTGTTGAGACATTCAGATGATAGAGTCAGAATTTGGCGTAAACAGAATGAGAACATGGATCTATCATGCCTTGTTACCACTGTGCAGGCTGGTGCTGGTGGTGTAATGGTGTGGGGGATGTTTTCTTGGCACACTTTAGGCCCCTTAGTGCCAGTTGGGCATTGTTTAAATGCCACGGCCTACCTGAGCATTGTTTCTGTCCATCCCTTTATGGCCACCATGTACCCATCCTCTGATGGATACTTCCAGCAGGATAATGCACCATGTAACAAAGCTCGAATCATTTCAAATTGGTTTCTTGAACATGACAATGAGTTCACTGTACTAAAATGGCCCCCACAGTCACCAGATCTCAACCCAATAGAGCATCTTGTGGTGGAACAGGAGCTTCGTGCCCTGGATGTGCATCCCACAGATCTCCATCAACTGCATGATGCTATCCTATCAATATGGGCTAACATTTCTAAAGAATGCTTTCAGCTCCTTGTTGAATCAATGCTATGTAGAATTAAGGCAGTTCTTAAGGCGAAAGGGGGTCAAACACAGTATTAGTATGGTCTTCCTAATAATTCTTTGGGTGAGTGTATGTAACCAGGACAGTAAAATAAAGTGTTACCCTAAATTATTTGATATAGCTGATTATAAACACTCTAACCCTAAAAGAAAACTTTTGCATTTTTAAAATAATAATAAACTAGAAATATTGCATTGGCAACTAACTGAAATAAAATAAGTTGAACTAATCATGAATAAAAATAAAGCTAATCAGAAATATATATATACATATATAGCTAAAACAAACTCAAATTAAACTGAAAACTGAAAATATAAAAATAAATGGTAATTAAAAATATTAATGAAGACTTATAATAATTTATAATATAACTTATAATAATTTATAATAATTGCTTGTTTTGATCCTGTGAAGTGCTGGACCTTTTCTGTCCTCTTTAGCAGTGGTTCTCAACCTTTTTGCTCTTGTCTGTTTCCTCTAAAAAGTAGAACAAAAGCTAGTCAATAGAATAGAATTGAATAGCTAGAAAAGAGAATAAAAATTGTGATTACAAAATATCCAAATTTATCATTGGGCCTGGGCCATCTATCCTAAAGATTTTACCCCTGCCGCGTGAATTTTTAGCCATTTTAGCCAAATGTTCCAATATTTTTTTCTGATTTTGCAATCTCGTCCCCTAAGTAAGAGAGTACACAGTGTACATTTGGCCACGTTCCGCGGGGTTTCTCAAAAGTAGGCGTTTCCGTTTGCACTCCAAAAATTGTTCTAGTTTATCTGCCGTAGTTCCAACTTCCTGTTATCGTTTTGTCCCAGTCTGTCAGATGATGAAGGCATCCTTACACCCGTAGTTCACTGCGAATACAAGTTTTAAACTTTAAACGTCTACCCTGCCTTTGCACAATGTCATCCAACAGTGGTATTCAAATACCCAGCCGGCTGCCTCTGCTGTGTACTCATGATGGAGTGCTGTTACCCGGCTCGACCATGAGAATCAGCGTCGACACGGCGAGAAACATGCAGTTGGTGAAGAGCAGACTGCTGAAGGGGACCTCGCTGAAGAGCACCATCATAGGGATTGTTCCAAACACTAGAGACCCCGAGCACGACAGCGATGAGCTCCCGTCCTTGCACAGGTTGGTCGGTCTGCGCTGTCAAGACTGTCAAACCCGCTGCAGGTCCAGTGTGATGCAACTGTCGTTATGAAACCATAGTCATTTATTAGCATGCTTTTGTAATAAATAAGTTACTTTTATTGTATTATAGACTTTATTTTATAATGTGTAACTTTGATATTTTCCCGAAATGTTTATGGTTACCAATGGTAACCATTACCATAAAAATGTTTGTACTGGTGATGATGACTGACATTGAGACATTATAATATTGTATTTACTAAACTGTAGCTTTGTGTGTTTTAGTTGAATAATGTTTAAACATTAACCACATGCCTGATTATAATGTTTTTTACATGCTAGAGACCTAGCTGCTGTAGCGACAGTGTTTGTTTTCTAGAATAATCGTTTGAGCAACAGATGGACTTTAACCTAACGAGTCTCTGCTCAGCGATCAATGTCAGTCAGGGTTTATTGTAAAAGATTTAAAGATTTACATATAAGAAAGGAATACAGGCCTGGAAGTCATATGATAAATGCAACAAATTGTTGAAAGTCACTATATATATATATATATATATATATATATATATATATATATATATATATATATATATATATATAGTGCTGTGCAAAAGACTAGTGCTGTGTAAAAGGCCACCACCAGCTTTTTTGTTTTAACAATGTTTTAATGTCCTCTCTTTATTAAGATACATACAGAAAATACAGGAATTATGTACACAAAAGTAAAACAAACAAAACATCAGACCAAACTGGCTTCTTTAAGCAAAAATCATTATTTATTGCAGGGGTGAATTTATTGCAAAACAATAAATGCAACTTTTTCCTATGAAGGGCGAAGGTCCAAAAATCAAACTTGATTGTGGGCCGTGGGCCAAAAGTAGATTTTGCATCATAAATCAAAGGGTATTACATTAAAGTTGCTTTGGGTTTATTTATTTTATAAAATTTAAAATTAATATAAAACAACTTCAATCTGATTAACTAATGCAGTTTTATTTGTAAAGTTTTGCATTTTAAAGAAATCCCCTCTCCTCGAATGGTATGGCGGGCCAAATCAAAGGATACCACGGGCCAACTTTGTTTAGTTTGGGCATCTCTGATTTAATGTGACCTCCTGGACTTGTTTCTCAAAGTAGAAACTCTCAGAAACGTCTAACGTAGACTCACTGTATTCCGGACATCACAGTATTCCGGACACTAGACCGTTTTCCGCAAATTCTTTAAATAAACACTTCACGTCATTGCATCTATATATAGCCTATCCGTGTCATCTTTGCCTCGTCCTCTTTCGCTTCCCATCAACCCAGCTTATAGTTGTTGAGATGTATGCGTTATATATTAGAAATGACTCTTTCTACCTGTCCGAACCACAGTGAGTAGAAATTTACAGCCGTTCGGAACACCGTGAGTCTACGTTATCAGATTTCGAAACTTTTCTTGTTCTTCCTGTCCTTTTCCATTTGATATAGGTTTAAGAGAAATACTTGCCACTTTAGCCTATAGGAGCCATATTTTCTGGTCATATTCCAATAATGAGACTGTGAAATAATTATATATATAGTCATTGTACCATTGCTAAAACAACATCTAATGGTGGCCTAAAACTTTTACACAGTATATATATATGTATTATAGGTGTACTTTATTAGGTACACCTTTCTAGTATCGGATTGGTCCCCCATTTGCCTTTAGAAATGCCTTACTTCTTCATGGCATAGATTGAACAAGGTACTTGAAACATTCCTCAGGGATTTTGGTCCATATTGACATGAGCATCACACAGTTGCTGCAGATGTGTCGGCTCCACATCCATGATGTGAATCTCTTGTTCCACCACATCCCAAAGCTGCTCTATTGGATTGAGATCTGATGCCTGTGGAGGCCATTTGAATATAGTGAACTCATGTTGTTCAAGAAACCAGTTCGAAACCTACAAGATCACAAATTAGATTTGACAGAAAGCAAAACTCAGACCTCAATGCTTAGTTTAATCTATACTTCTGTCTTCAAACTTCTGTCTTTTAATCTCTGCTTCTGTCTTCTGTCTCAGTATTGGCACAGCAGGACTGGCAGTACAGGTCGTAGGCAGCAACTGGCCAAAACCGCACTACACACTGCTCATTACGGGCCTGTGTCGCTTTCGTGTGACCCAGCTGCTTAGAGAGAGACCTTTCCCGATGGCAGAGGTGGAACAGCTAGACAAACTGGAGCAGTACACAGAGGGAGATCCGGCTGTTGGAGAGCTTGGAGAGCTGGCACAGAGGTTCCATCAGGCCGCTGTACAGGTCAGCAGCGTTTGTGATGTGATTTTGTTAACAGTCTATAAAAATAACTTTTTCCACAAGTCACAGATATTATTCACTTGATACACCTGTGTGTAATATAAGATTAAGTAAGGTTTTGTAAATGTTTTTGAAAGAAGTCTGGTCACCAAGGCTGCATTTATTTGACCAAAAACAAACAGTAATATTGTGAAATATTATTACAGATCAAAGTGACTGTGTAATATTTTAAAAAAATATAATTTATTCCTGTGATGGCAAAGCTGAATTTTCAGCATCATTACTCCAGTCTTCAGTGTCACATATCCTTCATGACCCTTCTTTTTTTCTTAGAATTGTGTGATATAAAGTCGCAATTGTGTGTTATAAAGGCAGAATTGTGAGATATAAACTTTCTGAGAAAAAAAAAATTAATTCTGAGAAAAAAAAGTATTTCCTCAGAATTTGACTTTATAACACGCAATTGCGAGTTTATATCTCACAATTCTCCAAATTGTGATTTAAATTCACAGTTGTGAGTTCATATCTTGCAATTTTGAATCTCTCACAGTTGTGAGAAAAAGTCAGAATTGTGAGATAAAAAGTTACAAGTTTGAATTATTTTTTTTTCCTGTGGCCGAAACATGCTTCCATAATTACATGCGTCTATGCTGAATAAATGTATTAATTTCCTTAAAAAAAAAACACCTTACTGACCCTCATTTTTTAATGGTTATTATATATATATATATATATATATATATATATATATATATATATATATATCAATAGTAGTATATATAATTAATTAATCAATTAATATATATATATATATATATATATATATATATATTAATTATTTATATATATATATATATATATATATAGATTGAATTTTTTTTTTTACATTTTTACCAATTACCTCTTTGAGGTATGATAACCAACATTAGAATTTGATACATTTTTGGATAAATTCAAATATTGGTAATTGATGGCAGTCAAAGTTTTCAGAAAATATAAAAGATATGTTAAAAAAAAAGTCAAAGACATTCTTTTTTCATGACTGAAGAAAAGATGAATGGAATTGTGAGTGGTTTTCTCTTTTGGCACCAATCATCTATACAATGAGTCATCATTGAAACTGAATGAATGTAAAGGCTTCATTCTTTGCCAAATGATACAGAATGATTCATTGCATGTAGGCTTTTCATTCAGTGTATTGACCGTGTTCTCTGGCCTCTCTTTGTCCAGCTGGTTGGGATGTTGGACATGTCTGTGCCTGTGGTGGCTAAACTCCGGCGTCTGTTGGACAGTCTGCCTAGAGAAACCCTACCGGATGTCCTGGCCTCCATGATCCGCACTTCCAACAAAGAGAAACTGCAGGTGCGACAGTAATAAGGGTTATTGTGCACGGTTCTAGAGTCCTAGTGTGATCATGCACCATGTTTAAACCTAAACACATTTGTTTTTATAAGTGTTTTCTGAATGTGCTGTTGTCAGGTGCTGGATGCAATAGACTTGGAGGAACGGTTTAAGAAGGCCCTTCCTCTGCTCACCAGACAAATTGAAGGGCTCAAGTTACTGCAAAAGACACGCAAACTCAGACCTGATGATGACAAAAGGGTAGGCCAGCATTTGTTTCTCTTTCTGCAGTCACCTTCCTCCACAACTTCCTGGACTATCACAGTTCTTGTCCTTTCTCCTAGGTGCTGGCCATCCGTAAAGGTGGTGTGTTCCCAGGTCGTCAGTTCTCGCTGGATGAGGAGGATGAAGATGGAGATGACAATGTTTTGCTGGAGAAGAAGGTGAAGGGAGCAGCTATGCCAGAAGCTGCACTGCGCGTGTGTCTCAAGGAGCTCAGGCGGTATGTACTGGTAATTTCAGACGAAACCGCATTTCACAGTTGCCTACGCACTAGACAGCAAGGGACTTTTTGCAGTTGTTTTTAGACTGATTCAAATGAAGTCATTTTCTTTACAGTTTAATCATGACCTGAATGGTCCCACTTTATATTAAGTGGCTTTAAGTACTGTGTACTTACATAGGAAAATAAGTACAATGTACTTATTGTGTTCAGGTTGTATTGTAAAACACTTTTGCTGCTATTGAGGTGTGATATGGGTAAGGTTAGGGACAGGTGTGGTGGTATGGGTAGGTATCAGGGTGGGTTAAGGTGTAAGGGAAGGGTCAACTGTGTAATTACAAATGTAATTACATCAATTAATTACAGTTGTAATTACATGCAGGTATTTTCAAAATATAAGTACAATGTAAAAACATGTATGTACACAATACGTCCAATGTATCAAAGTAGTAACTTCAATGTAAGTACATAGTACTTAAAGCCACTTAATATAAAGTGGGAATTTGGGTCAATGGCACATTCATATAAGAATTCCTTTGTTCCTGTATCTGTACAAATGCTGAATAACAGTTTATCTTATAAATTTTAAATGTGTACAGTCTTAAATCAAGTGTTTCTTCTTTTTTTATATGTATATGGAGCAACAGGTAGTCCAAAACAAATTTCCTTTCGAGGACAATAAAGTATACTACTATTATGCTAATATAAAGTAAACTACTACATTCATGACTCCCCCTCCTCAGCTGCATCCTATATGGATTTCTTCCTCATCTACAACACATTTTTTTGCCACAGTTTAAAGAAGATGCCACAGTCCATGCCAGAGTATGCCCTCACCCGGAACTATCTGGAGATGATGGTAGAGCTGCCCTGGAGCAAGAGCACTACAGGTAAGAAAGCTTTCTAATATAAAATGAAATAAAATGTATTTGTATTTTTGTATACGTGCATTTTTGGTTTTGGAGTGCAACTGTTATAAGCTATTATTAACTATTATACCATGGTCTGGGTGAATACTCGATTCTGATTGGCTGCAGGGTGTCCGTTAAAAAGTGATAGAGGACACCTAGGAAAGTAGTTCTGGTGAAATTGCCTGTTTACTATTCGAAATTAATAAATAAATGCGCTGACCACAACAGCTGTGAGTAACCATAGCAACAGGCAGTCAAAGTATCCGTTAACAATTTGCTCTATCAAAACAAACATCTAACGTTAGTTAGATATTACATAGCCTACTAATACAACAATGAGCGACTTCGTTATTTGTTTTAACATTTATGGAGAATATGACAACTTTGACGACTGGGATGCTGCTGAAGAAAGAAAAATGTGAATAAAACAAAGAAACGTCACAAAGAAAATTACACCGCTGCTGCTCTGAATGAGACCCTGCGGGAGTTTTACGCAGCAGTCCAGACAACCAAGGCAGGAGGAGAATACATCGTTTCAAGCCTAAGAAGCTTGTTTGATTAATTGTTTTATGTGTAATAAAAAAATAAAAAAATGTTCTACAAGCTGAGCAGACTATAAATATCTCCGGTTGCTAAATAAACCAGGCGAGTTATTATTTGTAAAAAAAAAAACTAGATTTAGCCTAATTAAAATATACACTAGCAGCTAATGTTTTAAAAATGTTTTATTTGGCAAGTGACCATGGTATAAGCGGGTTAATGCCCTTCGAGGTGTCCATTGTCAGGTTTTAATGGACTTCGGTCCGCTGCGCATCGGCCGGTTCACGCCTCGCCGTCGTCCATTAAAACCTGACAATGGACACCTCGTCGGGCATTAACCCTTACTTATTGCAATTAAGCACCAAAATCAGCATATTAGAATGATTTCAAAATCATCATGTGACACTGAAGACTGGAGACTTAAATTACACTTAAAAACATCAAAATATAAAACAGTTCTTCTTTATTGTCATGAAATGACTGTTTTACTGTATTTTGATCAAATAAATGTAGCCTTTATGAACATGAGAGATTTTTTTCAAAAACAATTTAAAATCTTACCGACCCAAAACTTTTGAACTGTAGTGTACAAAACATTGGTAAAACATTAGCATGGGTCATTTAGAAATATACAATATATCTACAATTAAAAATTGTCAAACAAATAGTTACTAATTTTTAATTTAAACATTTATGTATGGATGGAGTAATTAACATTATGAAATACTACAATAAATAATGCTATAGTTTGACTTAATTTAATAATATAATGCTACATACATACATACTTATATTTAGTATTATATAAAATATATTAATAGAATAATTTGAGGTTTAAGAAACATTTATTATTATCATCAATGTTGAAAACAGTTGGGCTGCTTAATATTTTTTAAAAGGTGATGCCTTTTTTTCCAGGATGCTTTGATAAATAGAACGTTTAAAAAACACCAATTATTTGAAATATTATATATATAAATATATTATAATATTATGAATATTACAACTCTTCATTTTTATTTAATTTAATGTCATTTGTGAATAAAAGTATTATTATATCCATGAAAAAATGTAGTGTATATATACACTAAATGCATAATAAACTTTTTGAAAATTAATTTAAAGCATTGTAGTTTAATTACATTTTATGTTAAATACATTTTTAGAATATTTTTAATTGTTGATAACATTTTTGTACGTTTTAGTTAAGCTTTTCATGTAAAATCAATCGGAGAGTCTGCTTACACTGCTTAGCCATCAGCAGAGGGAGACTTTTACCTCATTTTGTGAGTGAATTGCTTTTGAGGCATTTGAGCTGTTTACACGTGTTATTCTTTTCATGTTGTGCATGGCCACATGAGGGACTCCAGTACAGTACATGATCCTGCCAAGCATAGCTAGAGTGTTGAACCATATGTTGAGAAACATTAAATTTTCTGTTTTGTTTTATAATATTATCTCATGTGCATGATTGCAGCTATTATTTTTTGTTTTGCCAATTTTACTGGCACACTTAAAGCCATGTAAAAAAGTTTATGCATTACCTATTATCCTAAGCTTATAGCTTGCCTTGAAATAGGATCTCTGACTATCTACGAAGAGCTCAAACAAACATGCGCATGTGATTGAATGCTCCCATACACACACCTCTGAATTTCCCTTGCTAAATGTGTTACAGACCTTGAGGCTGGAATTCTGCTGGGAAAGTCTCATGTACACGAAGTGCATTTCACAGTCTTTTAAGCTCAGCACTCAAGGGTGGGGACAGCATTAGAAGAAAACTGATTTAGTGGTTTATATCAGCGTCTGAAAGCTGGGAATAGAGAGGTCTGCCCTTACAGGAATGTTCTCCTGTAAATGAAGAAATGGACGATTCATGATTTGTGAGAACCATAAAGAAAATTCTGTGCCCAGTTTAAGTTTTACTTTATGAGACAGCTGCACATATGTCTGTATCTTATTACATGAGGTAGTGGAGATGCATATGTATTTGATAAAATACTCACATTCCTTTCCCAATTTTTACATCATGCGTGCAATCAAGGGCTACAATAACTGTTTAGGGTTTGCAAAATGTTTTTGAAAAATAGTCTTTTATGACATTTTGCATTTATTTTATCAAATGATGCATTTATTTTATCAAAAATACTGTAAAAAAAAAAGTGTAATATTGTAAAATATTATTATAATTTAAATTTTTTATAATTGAATAAATTTTGAGTCTTCAGTGTCACATGATCCTTCAGAAATCATTCTAATATGCTGATTAGGTGCTCAAGAAACATTTCATATTATAATAAATGCTGAAAACAGTTGTGCAGCTTAATATTTTTGTTGAAACCCTGATACATTTGTTTTTTGATAAAAAGTCCAAAAGAAATTGTATTTGAATTTTTTGTAACATTATAATTGTCTTTAGTGTCACTTTTTAGCAATGCATCCTTTCTGAATGAAAATCTTATTATACTCAATATTTTAATTCTATATCCACTTAGATTGCCTGGACATCCGTGCAGCGCGGGTGCTCTTGGATAATGATCACTATGCCATGGAGAAGCTGAAGAGGAGGGTGCTGGAGTATCTGGCTGTGCGGCAGCTCAAGAATACCCTCAAGGGTCCCATACTGTGTTTTGTAGGACCCCCCGGTGTGGGAAAGACCAGCGTTGGGCGTTCCATCGCTCGCACACTGGGTCGAGAGTTCCACCGCATCGCCTTGGGGGGAGTCTGTGATCAGTCTGACATCCGTGGCCACAGGTAAGAAAGAGGTCATCATAATGGATAATGGTAGGAGACTCAAAGTCTGATCTTCAAACAGACAATGGTACATGATACATATAACCTCAGTGTCAGACTGCTTTGAGGAAGAAACTGTAGTTGGTCATTGTACATGCAGGTCAAGTCCTTTTGTGAGCTGTTCTTGGCCAGAATAAGCTGTGTGGACCAGACTTGCCAAAAGACTGCACGAATAATACATATAGTTTGAAGTCTGTAATGCCTGGTTCAGATTACACGATTTTAGCCCGATTTTGGCACGATCCGTTTGACGTAGGGTGTCGTGTGGATTCGTAAACGACAACGGGCATCGGGACGCAAGATTCGATCATATCATCTCTGTCATAGTGGGCGACAACCTACATCACAACATCACGACAAAAAGACTAGCATGTTTAATTTTTTTAATGGTCATCCACGACGGTTCTGTCACATGTATGAGGTTGACCAATAGGAGCACAGAAGCTTTTCCGTACACAACTTTCAAAAATGGCCAAACGAAAGAGACACAATGGTGCTAACGTTAAGACTAAAAGTAAAAATATATAAGAAAACAATATTTTACCTCAAGTTCTTTTTGGAGGATTGACAGCCCATAGTGTCCGATTTTAGCCCGATTTTGGCACGATCCGTTTGACGTAGGGTGTCGTGGGGATTCGTAAATGACCGGGCATCGAGACGCAAGATTCGATCATATCATCACGGAAAGTGTGTCATAGTGGGTGACAACCTATGTAGTGTCTGCGATGCTTCACGACAAAAAGACTAGCATATTTAATTTTTTTTAACGGTCGTCCACAACGGTTCCGTCACATGTATGAGGTTGACCAATAGGAGCACAGAAACTTTCGTTTCCGGAAGTCACTCGCTACCTGTTTCTCCTTCTCGAAGACATCACGTGCGCCGTTAAAGACAACATGCCATGACTGGTCAGGAAGCAACGTGTAGTCTGACATGCGTCTTGTCCATGACACGACAAGATTTTAGGAGTCAAAATCGCGTAATCTGACACAGCGACTATCGTAACAGACAAAAAAAAATTGTGTAATCTGAACCAGGCATAAGATTCTTTAAATGTTTTTGAAAAGAATGAAGTTATTCTCAACAAGGCTGCAATTATTTGAAAAAAAAAATGTATAGAAAGATTAGTAATATTGCGAAAAAATTATTACATTTAAAAAAAAATTTTTACATTTAAAAATTATTACATTTAAAAAAATCATGATCCTTCAGAAATCATTCTAATATGCTGATTTGGTGCTCATAAAAATAGTTGCTGCTTAATATTTTTGTGTAAACAGTGATACTTTTTTTCAGGATTCTTTGATGAATAGATGTTCAAAAGAACAGTATTTATTTGACAGACCTTGACAAGTCTTCACTGTCACTTTGTCACAACGTAATACATCCTTGCTGAATAAAAGTATTACTTCTTACAAAAAAAAACCATAATAATGACGTTAAACTGTTTACTATATAAACAAAAAAGGTTTCCACCACATTGCTAAACCCTCATTGACCCAACCCTCATGTTACTGTGATTAACTCAGGTGTTACGTTACTAATCCAAGATCCTTCAGACGTTTAAACCTCAAGCCATTCAAGCTTTGTTTTGCAATCAAATGGTGAGTCATAACCAACATGTGAAGCTTGCAGTGATATAGATGTGTCAGATTGAGGTGTGAGGCAATGATGAACCCACCAAAGAGACGTGATGTAGTGACCTTTCAGTGACAAGAGAAACTTTAAACCTTGACCTGCATTGTGATTTCTTTTGATGTTCCCTTTGATCTCTTGTCACTATAGAAACTAGAAGGTGATAACATCACGACACCCTGCAGGCCTGGACGAGCCTCTGTGTTTTCTGATTGGTCAATGTCAAACTTCACACTCTCCTACGGAAAATGTGTCCTCTTACGAGACCTTCCCCCTTAAACTCTGCGTTTGTCTCTTCACAACACCTTTCTTTAAAAGAGTCTGCATTAGTTTACTACAGTGGGGTGTTTAAGTTTAATGACAGTCTTACACCCCCTAATGACTGTAATTAGAGCACAACTCCATCCTGTCTGTCTTTGTATCCTGCCTATTTGGTAGTTCAGTGGGATGAAATGCTACAGTTTATGTTTTCGACCCCATCAGATGCACTCAAGCGCCATCCAGCAACATTGTCCAGACGTTATTCATTTAATTTTTTTTTTGATCAGCTACTCAGCCCACCAATTATGTTCCAGGAGCAGGAACACCTACTGACAACCAAAAATACAGTGACCTGAATAGAACTGCATCAAAACAGTTGCAAGATTGTGATCTTTTTTTTTTTTTGCACACCTCAGTCCTGATACAGATCTCTTTTTTTTTTTTTTGCACACCTCTCGCAATTTTTTCCCCAATCCAACTTTATCTCCACGTGTCTTTGTCCTTAGACGCACATACGTAGGTAGCATGCCTGGCCGCATTATAAATGGACTGAAGACTGCTGGGGTAAACAATCCTGTCTTTTTATTGGATGAGGTGGACAAACTTGGGAAGAGCCTACAGGGAGATCCTGCTGCCGCCCTGCTGGAGGTGAGAGAAACTACATCTAGGTTACAGCACTTCTACTTGCCTCGTATTGACCACAGTCTCACACTACAAGAAAGTCTTAATACATGCATAAAAAAGTCATAGGGAAATATAAAAATAAAGTTTGCCTGGATGGATGTAGGGAAGGATGAAAGGAAGGAAGCATGGATAGAGGATGGATGTATAATGTTTAAGACCTAAACAAAAGTTTTAAAAGGCACTTGAGGGCAATATTGGCCTTATATAAGTGTATAGATGTGATACTGTGATATGATTTCAAATTGAAAAACTTGAGATGGAATAGTGTAAAGCCGACAGGGCAGTTCGCTCTGTTCCAGGATGGTATTACCAAGACTCACTGCTTGACATATGCCTGGATACTGATAGATTTTTTTTTTTAAAAATGTGTTCATGTGTGGTCTACAAAATCATTTTGCATGCAAGGTTAGTGCTCGCATACCATAGGTTGTATTGTGTGCAGGTTGCTGTACACAAGATCACATACACATCACTATTTGCATATACTTGAATACACATGAGATGAGCCAGTTTGTTTCCACTGAGATACATATCCAAATATTGCTCTGAACATCCGTGTATCTGATCTTAATCTTGGCATGACGTACTTTTACAATAATTCAGAGGGAGAGAATTGTATCTTACAATTTCTCCATAGATCAGCAATCTGCATCGCGTAATCAGAAGATCGCCACTCAAAAAGCATCACGACAGTGACGTTCATCTCCTACTGTAAAGCATGTGAGGCTTTCGTTGAGGTTCAGATAGGATCAGGAGATAGGAAAGGGCGGCGGACATGACCTGACAACAAACTCTGCAGAAAGCTTAGCTCTGTGATTTAGCTTGTCACAGGCTGATAGTATACAGCATTTCAAAATAAATATTTGAAAGATGATTGTTTATAGCTATAACGATCTTGTTTTAAACCCTTAACCCTGAGTGTTAAAATTCGGCACATAACTCATCTCGTGTCATACCTCATGGTGCATCTCGGAGAGGTGTTATTACTTGACTAAATGCCTGTTCACACAAAGGCTCATTCATCCGCTGGAAAAAAAAATGCTCTGAAAAGTGATTCCAATGATATCATTCAACCGTGCCATTATAATAGTTGTGGTGTGGACTTTTAAATTGAGAATGTTTTTTAAAACTTTATCTTTATCATTATGGTTATAATTATTGTCCTTGGTGTGAATGCTTCTTAAACAATCAAAACTTACGAATTTTTTTAAAGAATCGACTCATGATTAGCAAAACAAGCCAAGCGCGATATTTAGCATGGAGTAGACACTCTACTGGCTCCCATAGCAAACTATTGAAAAAAAGAGGACTTGTCAAGAAATGCTTTGGTAAACACTCGCCCTTACCATGATGAAGTATAGTTCAGATGTGTGAGGTGTAATTAGTTCAGATGACAGTTCAGATATAGTTCAGATGACAACATGTAATTAAAGATTAGTAATGGTGTTGTAAAAAATATGATTTTAATAAATTGTTTAATGTTTAACATATTAATAACAGACTGGAAGGGAAGCTTTTTTGGAACTGTATGATGATATGTGAATCCTTAATAAAACAATAATGACCGTGTTTGTTTTGTCGATGTACCATCCAGTGTTGATTCTAACAGAAGTGGTTTGAGGAGCCTGTTGCTATGGTTACCTCCTCAGGCCAGAGCAGTCCAAATCATGAGAATCATGATTGAATTATCAACAGTTCATCATGAGATCTATTTCGAAATCTAACTTTTATGTTAATACCTAAATTTGTGCAAATGAACTGTGGTCATTTTTTAGGTTCTGGACCCGGAGCAGAACCACAGCTTCACCGACCATTACCTCAACGTGCCGTTTGACCTCTCGCAGGTCCTCTTCATTGCCACCGCAAACACCATGGCCACCATCCCCCCTGCCTTGCTGGACAGAATGGAGGTCCTCCAGGTGCCAGGTCAGAGTTCAATAGCGGACAAAAAAACACAGCAGGAAGTGGCGTTGATGATGTGACATTTTTAATGATTAATTCCTGACTATTTTAACATTAAGTCTAACTCAATTATGTCTATCCTACAACTGAGCAGATGGTTTTGTAGTTGAATGCTTGATTGGTTGATTGTAATTTGTGTTCTGAATATCAGCATGTGTGTCTCATTAGGGTACATCCAGGAGGAGAAGGTAGAAATCGCCCATCGGCACCTGATCCCTCATCAGCTGGAGCAGCATGGGCTGACCCCACAACAGCTCCAGATCCCACAGGACACCACACACGAGATCATCAGCAAGTATGCACACACACACATGCGTTTTGTGTTCTAAAGAGGTTCAGGCTGATAATGGCACTTTAAATAGGAACAGTGGGGCAGTTTAGGTCACCTCCTATAAACTAGATCCTCTGCTGTCTCATGCTCTCCTTCAAACCCGTATCTTAAGACAGGCTGCCAAACTTCTCCTCTAAAAGTCTGTAGTACACCAGGGATCGTCAATTAGAGACATTTGCACAGCAAACTAATTAATTACCTCAGAAATTGCTAATTTGGGGATGATTATCTGCTAAAAAGCAATCAATACATGACCCTGGCCCAGCAGTGCCAGCAGTAAATGACAGAAAGATTTGTGTGTGAATGTGTTTGTAGGTACACACGGGAGGCAGGCGTGCGCTCTTTGGAGAGGAAGATCGGAGCCATCTGTCGAGCGGTGGCTGTGAAGGTCGCTGAAGGTCATAAGGTCTCTAGAGCAGAGTCCCCCACGGAACAGCTTGCAGGTAAAAGTGGGATTTTTTTCCTCTCACACATCATTGTAGTTTATGGCTGGAATTACAACAGCTCCCCCGGGCTCTGCTTCAGTCGTAGACTCTGGATTGATGATAGTAGCCTTTGGGCAAAGATTGAAAACTGTCTGTCCCAGTGTGTTCTTGTCTTTGATGCATCTCGATGGCTGTCTCCACCAACAGTGAAGTCTGATTGGATTAAAATACTGCACCACATAGCTACACATTACATGATAAGTATGTTCTGGTTGGCTTGGATGACACTTTGTGCAGTATTTTGCTTTCTTTGAGAACAGGAAAAGGTACATGTTGCTGGAAACTAGGCTTGCTGTGATGGTCGGTATTAGCCCCCCACTGTCGTTTAGATTTTTTATAGTAGTAAAAATGGTTTAGTTCCGTTAGAAAACAGACACTACGATTAATTAAAAACACGTCTGCTCAAAGCAGTGCACAGAAGTAAGATTTATCACATGACGTGAGTGAGGCGAGCTGACTGACGAGACGATGGTGGAAGATTTTGTTTCAAAAAAAAGTGTAAGCATTTGATAGGCATCATTACCAATGGGAAAATGTCGTCGTCATCATCATCACGTTCCTTCTGGAAACATGTTGCATTACCTAACTATAAAACACTTACAGTGTTTCCCCAAGGATTTTTTTCAGGCGGGGTGGTAGACCCCACGAAACTACTAGTGTCGCGGAGTGGGCGTGTTAAGGAAACTTAGTGTAACATTTTTAGTAATCAAAAAGCATGTCAAAGCAAGCCGCTTAGAAACAATATATATTGTGAAAGCCCTATAAAAAAATAAAATAAATGTAAAAATTTGAATGTCTAATTAATTCAAATCATGAAACTAATACAATTATTGAACTTAGCCTATACAACATTTAATTAAAAAATTCTATGAAATGTTTTATTTTCTTACACAAATTTGGTGTTGTGTTTTTTTCTAGTGATCAAATGAAGAGGTAAAACATTAATTAAATTTTTTTTACCATATGAAATTAAACAAACTTTTTGTCAAACAACGTGCTGCACAATGAGCTTTAGCCTACTGTTAAAATTAAAACATGAAAATAAAGTTTTAATTAGAGGTCGACCAATAGTGGATTTTACCGATACCGATATTTAGGTTTGACCGTACATGCCGATAACCGATTAATCGACCGATAGTTTTTTTTAATGGATGCTGGAATAAAAACAAACATAACACTCCAAGTAAAACAGTGAAATAAATTAAATAAATTAAATAAATATATAAATATGAATACATTAAAATGAGAAGTTCTACAGAATAAACTCTACATTAATATTATTTGAACATTAAAATATTACAGGTCAACTATTATTCTTTAGCTATAACCTATAAACATATGTAAATTTCATAGGTAACAATTTGCAAGTCCCATTTGTTAACAAGGATGTATTAGCTAGCTTTCATGAACTATGCATTATGTAATATACGTTTTTACTGCATATATTACTATTTGAGCGATTCAATTGTAACAGATTAAATTTAAAATGTATTACTAAATGTTGATATTAACAAACTAACAATGAATTCTTCTACAACATTTATTAACCTTAGTTAAAGCTAAAATTGGAATCTTATTGTAAAGTGTTACCATATCATATACATCCAAAGAGTCATGCTTAAAGAAGATGGCCATATTTCAATATTTGCAAAGGCCTCCTGCTTCTGTGTGTGTGTGTGTGTGTGTGTGTGTGTGTATGAGGTAAATGAAACTGCACTGGGCCACCCCTCCAAAACAATGGTTGGGGAAACACTGCTTACTATTAAACACTGTTCAAAAACATTTAATTACAAAATTTAAATGAGTCAAAAAATCTGGAAAGATTTAGCCTTTTGGCCATTTAATGTTTGTAGTAGTTCCCCTTATGTCGGCTCCACCCTGCTATTTAGATATGATTGGAATCTGTATTGTCCTTATAAATCCCTATATTGATAAACCACTAGGTTCGCAGCTGTTAAGACACTTTGTAAGGATGTATTTAATTCAAGAAATGTTTCTGTAAGTGTACTGTGCTTCGCTCCCCAACAGCAGCAACTCAGGAATGGTTTAGCATTCTGCCACATACAGATGACTGACTTCAGCACAATCTATAACACGTATACTTACCCTTACTGTGCCACACAGACAGAATCAAGTACACACGACCTCTAAAGACTAAAGAGCACGTGTAGGAAACCCATGCTGAGAAAATATCTAACGTACAGTCAGTTAAACTAGTCTCACACATTATGAGAACCTCAGTACACACATGCACATATTGGTCATCAATCTCTCTAAACATGGGCCCCCAGAGGGGTGGAGGAGGGTAAAGCGTGCTAACAGACGGCCTTACAACCCCCCTTCGCTGTCCCGCTGCAGCTGCTCCTCTATAACAGAAGCAATAGCCAGGCCAGTTAACGCTCTGTTTAGATTTTAATGTACCCCAACTCTGTTTCCCAATCCTCTCCTGCATGGCCCATGTGTGAGATGAGATTTAGAGTGACGAGGGTCAGGGGGTTCATTTTGGCTTTGCTTTATTTTGTATTCAGTTTCTCTGGCTCTGTCTGCTGCTCGCTGTAGCAGGTGTTATTCCTAGATTTTACATCATGACAGCTGTCTCATGTGCTTCCTGCTGTTATATCCACTCTCAGTACATTTCGGCCCTCTTATGGTTTAGGAAATGAAAGAATTAGTTGGTCAGGTAGCAGAAAGTCTGATGCTTTTTAAAGGTGTACTTTTGGTTTGTGAAACTATTCAAAAACGTGATATGGAATATACTGTGCATGTAGCATCAGGCAAAAGTTTTCAGTTACTAATAAATAAAGCAAGAAGAATTTGTCTGGTCATGTTTTACTAAATAAAAAAGTTAAAATAAATACTTAAATAGTAATTAAATAGTAATTAAAAGTACCATACTTATTTCATTGTTATAATAAAATATATTTTCTTATGTTTAAATGAAATAAATATGAATTAAATTAACAATAATAATAAATATAATTATTTGTGCTTTGGATTGAATAAAAAGTGCCGCTTCAAAATGATTAAAAAAATATGCAGGGACTAATCATTTACATTTACATTACACCTGCAATAATAAAATAAATATGATAAATTCTGTAAAATCATTTCTGACCGAAGAAATATATAGTTAAATAATGTTAAATAAGTTAAATAATGTTAAATAAGACGAAAAGTAATGCTGGGCAGGACTTAATTTTATCCTTCGGAATTTAATTCATTATGAAAAGTGAGCTATGATATTATTGGTTAATTTTTTTTTTGTCTGTGCACTGTCTTGGTTTATGTTAGTAAAAAATAAGGTGGAAAACTTTTTTCCCTAGAAGAATGTGCACTGACCAATCATGCACTATAAAATCTTAATACAATTTATTATAACTTTCAAGAATGAGATATGCTGTTTCCTTCTTTGTTCTCAGAACATGATTCGCCTCCTTTGCATGTCATTAACAGTCTGGTCACATGACTTGTGGGCAGCAAGGGGCATGTACATAATTGTATGTCTTGCCAAGGGCTAATACACAACACTTGCTTTCAGAAAAATAAACACATGAACACACTCTGTAAATACACCCTAAAGCTGCTTTCCTTATTATGTATGATATTAAAAGATATAATACCTTTTTGTTTTCTCCCAAAATTAAGATAGCACCTGCTCTCCGCCTTAGCTGGACCCCTGTGGCATTTCTCTACAGCCTATAATTCTCCATTATTTCAGACAGCTCTCTTTCTCGCATTTTCTGTTCACTTCCCCCCCTTCGGCCTCAACGTCTGTCACTTTCCTGACTGAAAAGCCTCAAATAGACATGTTAACTGATGTGCTGGTGCAGGAAAATTTTATAGTGCTTTTTTCCCCTCTTGCAATTCACTTTTCTAAATATGCTTTTATCTCTGCTTAAATGGAGTTTACTTTTAGTTCATGAAATGTCAAACCTCTTTTACTTTGACACCAGTTGTACAGGTTTAAATTTAAGAAAAAAAGTTTTCGCCAGTTTCCCACCTTTTCCCTCTATCTATATCCCTTAGACCAGAATACAGAGAACAAGGTGGAGGATTCTGAGATAGCGGCACCTCCAGAGATGCCAATCGTTATTGACCACATTGCACTTAAGGATATTCTTGGACCGCCACTCTTTGAAATGGAGGTTAGTATTAAACAAATGCGCACTTTTTCTTTTTGCAATATTCACTGTGAACACTATTTATACTACAACAAAATGGCTTAGAATAGTGCATTACGCAAATTGGGTTGCACCTCTTTCTGTGTCTCTGAAGGAAATTTTTAATTCTTCATTTGTCCGGCCCTGTGTGCTGTTGTGTTTCTCCGAAAAGTGCTCTCTCCTCTTAGTAATGGAGGCTGCATTCCTGCCATGCCTATGGGGACGGGACAGGGGAAGACCAGAGGCAGTCAGAGAGTAGCCTGTTTCAGTTCTACTGAACTATCGCACACATCTTCTCCTTCAAACCCTTGTGTTAGCATTCGGCTTTCTGAAGTTAGTTTACCAAGTATATAAACAGGCAAAAGTTTAATTTTTTGAAAGGGACATGTCTGTCTGTCTTTTAATGGGGCTTCTGTTGTTCTCATTTGTAAGTTGCTTTGGATACATAGGGGTATAACGGTTCACAAAATTCACTGTTCGGTTCGATACGATGCACTTGTGTCACGGTTCGGTACCTTTTTGATACAGCAAAAAGAAACAAATGCCAGAGAAATTTCCTTGATTTAATTGAAGTTAAAAAAATGTAAAATTGAGAATTTTTTAAAATATTTTTTTTCATAGAATTTTTTTATAATACATTTTTTAGTCTTATTATACGTTACAATGTAATTCTACCTTTATTACAATGTAACTGTATAGAACTAAAAAAGTATCGATTCACTTGAAAAAGTAGCGATTAATTTTTGAAAAATCGATGACTCTTTTTTTAAAAGTACCGATTTGCTTGATAAAGTAGCGATTTTTTTTTTTTTTTAAATGTAGCGAATAACTTGAAATAGTAGCGATTCTTTTTGAAAAGTATCGATTCACTTGAAAAAGTCTTTTTGAAAAAAGTAGCGATTCTTTTTGGAAAAAGTAGTGTAAAAATGTAATTATACATTTGTTGCAGTCTGATTATACATTTATTACAATGTAATTATAGTTACACATTGTACTTATTACATTCACTTATTAGTGTTATTATACATTTGTTACATTTTGTTACATTAAACTTTTTGAAAAAGTATCGATTCACTTGAAAAAGTAGTGATTCATTTTTGAAAAAGTGGTGACTTTTTTTGAAAAAGTATCGATTTGTTTGATAAAGTAGTGATACTTTTTGAAAAAGTATCTGTTTGGTTGTTGTTTTTGTTGTATTTTTAATCATATAACTGTGGCCTTGGTGAGCAGAAGAGATGTATGTTAAAAACATAAAAAATCTTACTGATCCAAAACTGGTAGTTTATATATATATATATATGTACATAATTTGTTTTGCAATGTTAAGATAAGCATGTGAAGTATGTAATCAGAGCTGTATGTGTTTGTAGGTCTCAGAGCGACTGACCCTACCAGGTGTGGCAATCGGGCTAGCCTGGACTCCTATGGGTGGAGAGATCATGTTTGTGGAGGCCAGTCGTATGGAAGGAGAAGGTCAGCTGACCCTGACGGGGCAGCTGGGGGATGTCATGAAGGAATCTGCCCATCTAGCGATCAGCTGGCTCCGCAGCAATGCCAAGACTTACTTCCTCTCCAATGGTTGGTAATAGACATTGACTATCCAAACATATGTATACTACCGTTCAAAAGTTTGGGTTGCATTTATTTGGTGAAAAGTACAGAAAAAACAATATTTCATATTGTGAAATATTATTACATTTTATCTATTTGAATATTATTTTAAAATGTAATTTATTCCTTTGATGGTAAAGCTGAATTTTCAGCATCATTACTCCAGTCTTTAATCATTCTAATATGCTGATTTGCTGCTCAAGAAACATCTGAACAAAAAATTGCTGAATAAAATGATTTCTTTTTTCCAAATAAGAGATTACTGACCCCAAACCTTTGTATGAGACTATACTTACAGCAGTCATTTATGGACATAAGTTGTGCTTGACTCAGCTTTTAGTTCAACCACATTTTATGTTCACATTTGATTGAGCGAGACTGCTTTATCACAATGTGATTTGAATGATGATGTTGTAGGCAGCGCTGATCCCCTGGAGGGTACCGATATCCACTTGCACTTTCCGGCAGGGGCCGTCACTAAGGACGGACCCTCTGCTGGTGTTACCATAGTAACGTGCCTGGCCTCACTGTTGAGTGGGCGTCTGGTGCGCTCTGATGTGGCCATGACAGGAGAGATCACTCTGAGAGGACTGGTTCTGCCGGTGAGCAACCTTAAACCGTTCATCATCAGAGATGTTGAATGTCCGAGCTGACATGATATATCTTGTCTCTCTACAGGTAGGAGGAATAAAGGATAAAGTCTTGGCAGCTCACCGGGCCAATCTGAAACGCGTTATTATCCCCAAGCGCAACGAGAAAGATTTGGAGGAGATCCCAGCCCATGTGCGAACTGATCTGGATTTTGTTTTCGCCAGCACTCTGGATGAAGTCCTGAATGCGGCCTTTGATGGCGGCTTTCCCTCAGCTGTCAGTCATCCACAAGTTGTTAGTAAACTCTGAGACTGTTGTTGCTAGATATGAATACTTTTTTTTCCTCTTAGAGAAAGTTGAACACTCTGCACTTAGTTTGTCATCATTGTGCACTTATAAGCTTTAGGCGCTTGTACTCTAATTCATTGATTTAATAACCTCTAATTTAATAATAGAGCGGGTATAAAGAATAAAATGAATAAGAGAGTGGGTATAATTTTGTTCCTATAGAACTTACAACAAAATTTGTCTGACAATTTATACTGTAGATAATTATACTAATCCAGCTTTATTTTGATTTTTTTGAAAGTTGCGATTTAACAAACATATTTAGTTATCCTCATGAAATAAATGAATGAATATCAAAGTTCTTTGATATGAAGGCTGGAATATTTTAATTTTGCATGGTGACAACTAAGTACAATTTAAAGGAATTTTAAATTTAGGTTAGCATCAAATAATTGCCTGAAAACTCATTGTGTCTGTACAGGAAATGTTCCTAGAATTGGTTGCTCCTTCAAACCATCAATCTTTCTTTTTTATGAATTTACAGTCACCATTGCAGCAATGATCATTCAATAGCATAATGGTAAAATAGTCTGACCGTTTATGTTTAGTTAGATCAGCATTTTTAAATGCACCACTAGCTGTATTCACAAAACATTTTACCACTAAGAGTTCTCCTAAATAAGCAGTAAGGGAAGTTCTTAGTTAAGAGTTTCCTCTGTAAACCTATTCGCAAAAATAGTCTACCTAAAGCTTCGGTGACCAATTTTTGCTAAGAAACAGAGAGAAATCTTAAGCTTCTCCAGCTGGAGAAAGGGTGGCACTGACCTCATTGCTATGGATGATGTCAACACACTAACTATGCCCACAGTGATTGGCTGATAGGGGAGCGATCTCTGCCAGTGGTTTAATCACAGAAATATTGCAGAACGAGTTATGTTGCAATATTCAAATATAGAATTTTTTTTCAAATGGTCTATCCAATCAGTTCGAGAGGAGGTATGTATATATATATATATAAATGGGGGGCTTTGGGTTTGGGCTAAATTCCGAGCTCAAAGCCCTCAATGCGTTTATTTTACTCTGCTCGATCACTTGAAGTATGAACTTGAACTGCCACATCGAATATTATTTTCTTTTAAAGATTTGTTTTTGGCTTTTTGCCTTTTTATGATAGTACAATGAGTAGACAGGAAGCGAAGGCGGCATAGGAGTCTGAACTCGAACTCGGGTCACCTGAGGTGCCCACAAGGCTATTGGAGCCGACAATAGGACATTATTTTCAACTTGACCGGAATGTTTTATTCTCTCTATTGTTTGTAACTAAGCCAAAACAAATGGGTCTAACTAAAATTAGGACTGAGACCCCTGTTATTTTTAAGAGTTTCTCCTGAATCAAGTTAAGAGCTACTTTTAGCCTTAAAGTTTTACCTTAAAATGTTTTCAAAATCGTTTGAGTGGTTCAAGTCGTGACATGGTGAAATGCTCTTATGCCACCGCTTTGTGGTCCTTTATCTGATATAACCACGCTATGCAAGGTTGCCACATCGGTTCGCGCTTCTGTAGTCCGAATGAGACAAGTAAACTACAAATTTGACTTGCTTTACGGTAAGCGCTACAATTGCCGATAGGTGGAGCCTACTCGACAGTAGACTGCAACTACATGTAAGATACCTAGCAGCCACTTGGCTTTTGAATTGTCATCATGATTCAAAAGCTGGTGCTGGATAAACAGCGAGCGTGCGACAGTAGGATGTGTTAGGCTACATTTTTTATGACAGCAGTAAAGGACAATTCACTGAGGAAAAGTTACGTGGTGTTGCTTTAAGATGTTTTGTGAATATGGCCCAAATTAACAAATATGATTTCATAGCTTTCCATCATTTTACATTTATAATTAACAAAAAAAAAAAAAAAAAATCACCAGTGTAGCAGTGTAGAAGTGATTCATCTTGACAAATATTATTGTAGTATTGGTGTGTTTGTAGTTGTCATGCACATGCTAATTTGCTATGCTATACTGCAAACAATGCTGACATTTTACTGTGTTTGGGAGTTCTAAACGGTTAATACATTCTTGTTCTCAATGCCTGTAATACCTGCATGACAGCTCTGTCCTGAAAACAGAAAACATGTTTGGAAATATCAAAAGATGTGTACTAACCACTTTCACACAAGTCAGTAAGTTCCACAAAGCATAGAGTGCTATGTGAGAAGCCTATTTCCCATACACTTTGTTCTTGAAACATAACCTGTTTTTAAGCTAAAGTGTGTAGACACAGCTATAGACCATTTCACAAGATGTAAACAACACTTGTCCAGAAGCACTTCCTGTTTCAGTTTATAACTGTTTTCTTTATTTCACATGGAAAAAAAAAACATCTTAAAGATGTTTGTTTAACTTTTTGATTCAGTTTTAAATGATCTGTTGGTTGTATTTTATCCCAGCTTTTATGTAGTGTTAAAAAACTGAAACAGGAGGTGCTTCTGGGCCAGTGTTGTTTACATCTTGTGAAATGGTCTATAGGCTATTTGTTGGTTGATCTCCCCAAAAAGAATTAATGCTGCATTCTGACTAGCATTACCGTAACCAATGGCATTAGTTTGGGTTGGACTATATTTGTCCATGTGTTTCCAACCAATGCAAGACAGAAATGTTGCACAAATCTGAGAATCATTTTGCAACTCCAAATGATGATATTAGCAATACAGAAATTACACATTTCAGCATTCAACATTAAAGGAAAACCCACCCAGGAATTTCATGTTATTACCAAAACATCTAAAGCAAGAGCACAATACATATCATTAATTCTGTAGAACCATATAAGACGAAACATAGAGTATATTTTCTCCATTAAGACTTCAAAATTCTCCTTAAGTAACAAACCACCTAGTGCAGATTAAACAACATTGAAATTAAACAAAATAGTTAACAAAAAATCAAACAAAAACAAACCTACCTTCGCTTCCGCTATGATAGAGACATCAACTCTTGATTGAATTGCGAATTCCAAGTTAGGGGTGTGTTTGGGTTGATGTAATGTCAGCAGTTTCATGAAGCATTGCATGACAATAAAAAAAAATAACGTTTTGCTATAAACAATATTTTTAAACAAAAAGAAAGGTTTAAATCAGACTAAAATATTTACACTAAAACAACGCGTGCGCGTGCTGCATATATAATACCTTACCTCTCTGCCGTCATGCGCCTGCTGCATATATAATTATATTATATATATATTTATTATTATTAACAGTTGGCAAACTAAAATTGTTTGTAGAATTTGTCAAGTTCTTATTTTTACCTGGGTGCGCTTTCCCATACTGTTTCCTTGTGTAAGCAAAGGCAGCTGGAACATTTATTAAACATGTAGAATACTTTCCAAAGCATTTAGTATTATAAATTCAGACGTTTGTGATACATAAAAAAATAAAACATAAGATTATCCTTTGACCCATTCAGACCCTGCGTCCATTACAATGGACATCACATGTCAGCCCCCTTTTTTTTTTTTTACTTCTGGAGCATTTCACCTTGTTTAAAGCCTGCAGTCCATGAGATTGGACGTTTGTCATCCAATCAAATGCCAGTAAAGCTCTGCATGTAGTAATTATATATAAAAAAACCTCTACATTGAAGAGAAGCATGGTAGCACTCGACTCCAAACACAGAAGCAAGCAACATTTTCTATGGTGTATTTACATTTTGTATAATATTTTTGCCAGTATTTTATAGTTTGTATGTAAAATAGAAAGATTGAACTTATTAATTAAAGTTAAAAATCAACTGTAGAACTGCACATTTTAAATCAGGATTTTTTAAAATGTGTCTGTCCATTAGAATGGACAGTAGGTTTGAAAGCCTGTTACTGAAGTCACATTTTCAGTAATGCTGATTTGAAAAAAATACATATATCACAGATTAAACTTTTTCATGTGCAGAATATACAGTTCTGAAGTGCTTGAACATTTAACTGATGAAACTATCTCAGATGTTGACTTTATGTGGAGTAATGAGGAAGATGGAGATGTAAGAAAAATATCCATATTTAAAACTTTATAAAGTAAAATAACTTCCGGCCAAAAGAACATATGGATTTGACTTGAATCTAAAGCGCAACTTAAATATGAATATTTAAAATATTTTATATTAAAGGGATGGTTCACTTTGAAATTAATTTTTGATATGTTTTAGCTTACCTCAAGGTGCGAAAAAATAAGTTTCTCCAATCTTCTTTAAACTCTGGATTCTGATAGAGGACAATGGGACTTAGACCTGAGTGCAAAAATTGAGGCTCTAGACCCTTCCAGAGCTGAGATATTGAGATATTTATACTGGCATAAATGTTACGTGGGATCTCAATATCTCAGCTCTGGAAGGGTCTAGAGCCTCCATTTTTGCACTCAGGTCTAAGTCCCATGGCCCTCTATCAGAATCCAGAGTTTCAAGAAGATTGGAGAAACTTATTTTTTAGCACAAAAAAAAACGAAAGGGGTACCACTGTCGTTTTTTTTTTTTGGGTCGATCCCCCCAAAATGGAGGCTCTAGACCCTTCCAGAGCTGAGATATTGAGGTCCCATGTAGCATTTATGCCATTATAAATATCTCAATATCTCAGCTCTGGAAGGGTCTAGAGCCTCCATTTTTGCACTCAGGTCTAAGTCCCATGGCCCTCTATCAGAATCCAGAGTTTCAAGAAGATTGGAGAAACGTATTTTTTCTCACAAAAAAAAAAAAACAAAACGAAAGTGTTACCACTGTTGTTTTTTTTTCGGGCAAAAAATTAAGTTTCTTCAATCTTCTCAAAACTCTGGATTCTGATAGAGGGCCATGAGACTTAGACCTGAGTGCAAAAATGGAGGCTCTAGACCCTTCCAGAGCTGAGATATCAAAATTCAAAATTTCGACCCGAAAAAAAAAACGACAGTGTTACCCCTTTCGTTTTTTTTTCATTTTTGGGCGAAAAATTAAGTTTCTCCAATCTTCTCAAAACTCTGGATTATGATAGAGGGCTGTGAGACTTAGACCTGAGTGCAAAAATGGATGATCTAGACCCTTCCAGAGCTGAGATATCAACATTCAAAATTTCGACCCGAAAAAAAAAACGACAGTGTTACCCCTTTCGTTTTTTTTCATTTTTGGGCGAAAAATTAAGTTTCTCCAATCTTCTCAAAACTCTGGATTATGATAGAGGGCTGTGAGACTTTGACCTGAGTGCAAAAATGGAGGCTCTAGACCCTTCCAGAGCTGAGATATCAAAATTCAAAATTTCGACCCGAAAAAAAAACGACAGTGTTACCCCTTTCGTTTTTTTTCATTTTTGGGCGAAAAATTAAGTTTCTCCAATCTTCTCAAAACTCTGGATTATGATAGAGGGCTGTGAGACTTTGACCTGAGTGCAAAAATGGAGGCTCTAGACCCTTCCAGAGCTGAGATATCAAAATTCAAAATTTCGACCCGAAAAAAAAACGACAGTGTTACCCCTTTCGTTTTTTTTCATTTTTGGGCGAAAAATTAAGTTTCTCCAATCTTCTCAAAACTCTGGATTATGATAGAGGGCTGTGAGACTTTGACCTGAGTGCAAAAATGGAGGCTCTAGACCCTTCCAGAGCTGAGATATCAAAATTCAAAATTTCGACCCGAAAAAAAAAGGACAGTGTTACCCCTTTCGTTTTTTTTCATTTTTGGGCGAAAAATTAAGTTTCTCCAATCTTCTCAAAACTCTGGATTATTATAGGGGGATGTGAGACTTTGACCTGAGTGCAAAAATGGAGGCTCTAGACCCTTCCAGAGCTGAGATATTAAATTCAAAATTTCGACCCGAAAAAAAAAATGACAGGGTTACCCCTTTCGTTTTTTTTCGTTTTCGGGCGAAAAATTAAGTTTCTCCAATCTTCTCAAAACTCTGGATTATGATAGAGGGCTGTGAGACTTTGACCTGAGTGCAAAAATGGAGGCTCTAGACCCTTCCAGAGCTGAGATATCGAAATTCAAAATTTCGACCCGAAAAAAAAACGACAGTGTTACCCCTTTCGTTTTTTTTCATTTTGGGCGAAAAATTAAGTTTCTCCAATCTTCTCAAAACTCTGGATTATGATAGAGGGCTGTGAGACTTTGACCTGAGTGCAAAAATGGAGGCTCTAGACCCTTCCAGAGCTGAGATATCAAAATTCAAAATTTCGACCCGAAAAAAAAACGACAGTGTTACCCCTTTCGTTTTTTTTCATTTTTGGGCGAAAAATTAAGTTTCTCCAATCTTCTCAAAACTCTGGATTATGATAGAGGGCTGTGAGACTTTGACCTGAGTGCAAAAATGGAGGCTCTAGACCCTTCCAGAGCTGAGATATCAAAATTCAAAATTTCGACCCGAAAAAAAAACGACAGTGTTACCCCTTTCGTTTTTTTTCATTTTTGGGCGAAAAATTAAGTTTCTCCAATCTTCTCAAAACTCTGGATTATGATAGAGGGCTGTGAGACTTTGACCTGAGTGCAAAAATGGAGGCTCTAGACCCTTCCAGAGCTGAGATATCAAAATTCAAAATTTCGACCCGAAAAAAAAACGACAGTGTTACCCCTTTCGTTTTTTTTCATTTTTGGGCGAAAAATTAAGTTTCTCCAATCTTCTCAAAACTCTGGATTATGATAGAGGGCTGTGAGACTTTGACCTGAGTGCAAAAATGGAGGCTCTAGACCCTTCCAGAGCTGAGATATCAAAATTCAAAATTTCGACCCGAAAAAAAAACGACAGTGTTACCCCTTTCGTTTTTTTTCATTTTTGGGCGAAAAATTAAGTTTCTCCAATCTTCTCAAAACTCTGGATTATGATAGAGGGCTGTGAGACTTTGACCTGAGTGCAAAAATGGAGGCTCTAGACCCTTCCAGAGCTGAGATATCAAAATTCAAAATTTCGACCCGA